ACTTTAAAAATCAGGTTAGTTGAATCTGCTATCTTGGTTTCAACCCTACGGTATCCACAAACGATACATTTGCTTTCTTCTCCTCCTTCTTCTTCTTCTTCTTCTTCTTTTTCTCCTCCTTCTTCTTCTTCTTTCTTCTTCTTCTTCTTCTTCTCCTCCTCCTCCTCCTCCTCCTTCTTCTTCTTCTTCTTCTTCTTCTTCTTCTTCTTCTTCTCCTCCTTCTTCTTCTTTTTCTCCTCCTTCTTCTTCTTCTTCTTCTTCTTCTTCTTCTTCTTCTTCTTCTTCTCCTCCTCCTCCTTCTTCTCCTCCTCCTCCTCCTTCTTCTTCTTCTTCTTCTTCTTCTTCTTCTTGGTTGAAACCAAGGTAGCGGATTCAACTGATCTCCCCATTTTTAAAGTTAAAAGCTCTACATGTTATTTTTTACTCTTGCTTTTTATTTACAGATGTATTGAACCCTTTTTAATACTACTGTTTCCTGGTTTGATTCAACTCAGATATTGCACAGTGAGTGCTGTTGTTAATAAAATGGTAACAGAGATATTAAGCATCTAATTATTTTTGTGTGTATGTGTTAATCACTTCGTCGCAAGCAAGGTAATAAAGTCACTACGTAAAACATTATTAAGGGGCGAGAACAATAAAAGAACAGGGATTAAGACTGTTGGGGCGCACCCACCTTCTCATCAGAATGGACTGATCTCTCTACTACTAATAGGACAGTTCTAGAGAGTTCTGGGAAGATCAGGTGACCATCACACTTCCGTCTCTCTACCGGAAGATACAGTTGGACTTTATACTTTTTCTGATTGTTACTGACTAACCTGCGTTCGTTTGACTACTAATCTCTCTGTTGTAAATACCTCTTCAGATATACCAGTATTTTTCCCTACGTATGTGTTTGTCCTTATTTCAATACACGCACGGGGAAACACCCAACATCTCAACAAAGACAACAGAAAATAACGATTTCATTTCAATTTTTGAACATCAAAGTGAACTGCAACGCGAGAAGCAGAAAGAAAGTTCCACAAGCGAGAAGTACGGTAGAGGTAACTCTTAGCATAGAACTTACGGTTGCATTAAATCTGCAAAATGGTGAGACCTAGTCGACAATATATTATTGTGCTTAAATTCATCAAGTTGAGGTACCATCAGAACAATTGCAATGAAAGTATTTACAGAAATCCACATGGTAGCTGCGTTACGACGGTTGGAAAGTGACTGAAGCCGAAATGCCAGGTCAGAACTGATAACATTGCAGATTGTTTGGATTTTATCAAGAATCTGTAAATACATAGCAGCAGTTGCAGACCGTATATGGCAGCAATATTTAAAACATGGGTGAATCGTGGACATTATCAATATGTAAGAGAGATTCTGGAGAAAAAAAATTTGTCCCTCACGATACGTTGAAGTAACTTTCCTTGAAGCAGACCTAGGAATTGATTCAGTACAATCTTTCCACTTTATAATCTAATGCATTCCAACCCTAGAAGTTTTGTTTATTTTAAATAAAATGTTTAAAAGCATGTCATGTTTTTTATCATTCGCTGTCACTATACGTAACCAAATCAATACTACCAAACCCTAATAATGAAACTATTTATTTTACATAAAAATAATTATGCATTTTAATCTCCTTCCTCGACAGTGTTCTTAATTTATTCATCGTTGAACATAACACAGCGAAATTTTTCAGATTAAATATAAGCTTATGACTACGTATCAGGCTACAAACTTATTGATCTAGCCTCGGACATGCACTGATTAGTAGGAATGAAAGTTTTCAAGTATTTGCTTAATAAATCCTGCTTTTTAGATATTGTATAATACACGTCATATGCATGTATGTTTGCACCTGGTAGTAGCGTGTCGCCAGCCTTGGAAATTGGTCTATGTATCACATCTTTTCGGCTGCGTGACGAAGTTAATTTCAACGGAAGAGCAAAATATGCAAGCTCGCTGAATACGCGTTCGGTGGAGTGAAAACTGTGAGCGGAGGAGGGGAAAAGCGAAACGAAAGAAAATAACACCGACAACAAGTTTGCGAAAGAGTCAGAAAGTGTGAAAGAAATCGAGAGGGATTTTATGACAGACGAGAAATGAGAAATTAGGTTAGAAGGAAATCAGTTGTTCGTTCTCCAAAAACGTTAAAGGCAACGTTATATAAAACACATGTTCGGAGAATTCAACCTCTATTTTCACTTTCACTTTCACTTTCGTTTTCATATGTTTCACAATGTTTTTAGTTTTGTTCTTTTGTTATTTGATGCTTTTTTTTTCTAATATTCGTTCTTTTCCCGCGTTTCCGTACACTTTTCTTTTTTTTTTTTTTTTTTTATTTGCTATTTTCTCTCTCTTTTTTTTTTTTTTTTTTAATTTATCTTTGTTTCAGTGATTAGTTTCACTTTCACAGTCCACTGGCGACCGGCGATGGAAAAACGTCTTCTCGCGATAGTGACGTCAGCGCTAAGTGCGAGATCTCATCAGATTATCATTTTGTTCTCAACATCCGTAAACTGAACTAAGACGATTTGCCACGAGCGGGAAGAGAAAATCGACGCCGACCTAAGAGAAAGAGCTTAAGTTTTTGCGTGTGTGTGTATGTGTATGTACGTGTGTGTGTGTGTGTGTTCTTTGTTGTTTTTATTTGGTTGATGGCAATCGAGGAAAAATCTTAATTGTATATCACTTTCAATGCCACAAATTTTACCTTCCCATCCCAATCATTAAAATTCCCTTCTGTCATTTTTCCTCTCTTTATTTGTTTTCTTTCATTTTTAATTTTAATCACACATTCCAGGCATGGAACTCGACGATTCTACGTCTCCATGATTTCTTCGAAAACGTCTTCTCCGACTTTAGTTTCCTTCACTATCCCCCTCTCTCTCTCACTCTTTCTCTCTCTTTCTCGTTCTTTCTCATTCTCTATCTTTCACTCTCTTTATAACGCTCTCTCTCTCTCTTGCACACTCTCTAACCACCATTCTCTTTACTTCTCTCTTACTGACATCTCTCCTTTTCTCTTTCTCTCCACCGTGCTCTTTTTCTCTCTACCTCTTTCCACGTCTCTTTTTTCACCTTTCTCTTTCTCTCTACCTCTCTCCACATCACCCTCTTCCGCTCTTTCTCTTTACCATTCTCCTTCTCTGTCTACTTCTCTCTCTTTCTCTTCACTATACCCTCTCTCACTCTCTGCCTTTCTCCATATCTCTCTATTTTTTCTCTTTCCACCATACTTCTCTATACATCTCTCTCTCTTTTTATATTTCTCCACCCTTCTCTTTCTCTCTATACCTCTCTTCACAACACTCTCTTCCGCCCTTTCTCTTCGCTGTTTTCCTTCTCTGTCCTCTACTTCTCTCTACATCTCTCTCTTTCTCTTCACTATACCCTCAGTCTCTCTCCCTCTCTCCATATCTCTCTATTTTCTCTTTCCGCCATTTTCTTTACTTCTCTATACGTCTCTCTTTCTATGTTTCTACACCCTTCTCTTTCTCTCTATACCTCTCTCCACATTACTCTCTTCCGCTCTTTCAATTCACCATTCTCCTTCTTTTTCCTCCACTTCTCTCTACAACTCTATATTTCTCTTCACTGTAACCTTTCTCTTTCTATCTCTCTCTCTCTTTATGCTCTCTCCATATCACTCTGTTTTCTCTCTCTCTCCGTCATTTTCTTTACTCTGCTTCTCTATAACCTCTCTCTTTCTATGTTTCTCCACCATTCTCTTTCTCTCTCTACTTCTCTCTACATCACTCTCTTCTTCGTTTTCTCTCCAACATTTCCTTTCTCTTTTTCTTTCTCCCTACGTCTCTCCTCATTTATTTCTCTCTTTATACACATTTCTTTTTCTCACTATCTTTCTATTTCTCTCCAAAGCTCTGTCTTCTCTCTTCTCTATCTCTCTATCTCTATCTATCTATCTATCTATCTATCTATCTATCTATCTATCTATCTTTTTTTTCTCATGTTTTCTCTTACTCGATGAATGTTTTTTCAGTTATTTTTCTCGTTTTCTTCCTATTACTTTGACGAGTCGACCATTTTAATTCTTCTTGCTTTTAGCTTAGGTTTAGTATCGATGTTTGTTTGCTGTGTGTATGTGTGTATGAACGAAAAATAAAAAAGAAAGAATAAATAACAAAAACAAACATCAAAGAAAGGAAGAAAGAAAGAGCAAATAGCAAAAATAAGGGAAAATAGGAAAGGAAAGAGCAAGAACGACTGAAAGAGAAGAAAGAGTCAAAGAAAGAAAAAGCAAATAACAAAAAAAAAGAAAAAAGAAGGAAAGAATGAAAGAGTGAAAGAAAGAAACACAAATAATGAAAAGAAAGAAAGAAAGAAAGAAAGAAAGAAAGAAAGAAAATCGTATCGAAAAAAGGAAATAAACGGACTAGGAATAAAACGCTTCTAAAAAAAACGAAGAAAGAAAAAGAAAAGTAACAAAGAAAGAAAAAAGAAAGAAAGAAAGAAAAGGGAACAAAGAAAGAAAAAAGAAAGAAAATGAAACAAAGAAAGAAAAAAGAAAGAAAGAAAGAAAAGGAAACAAAGAAAGAAAAAAGAAAGAAAGAAAGAAAGAAAACAAAGAAAGAAAGAAAAAATAGAAAAATGACACCAGAAAAAAACATACATTATAAAAAAATTAAGATAAAAATTACCAAAAATTAAGGCTATCAAATGAAAGGTAAATTAATAGACGAAAACAAAAGAAACATTGTAAAATGCAAATTAGTGAAAGAATAAGAATAAGAAGTTAAAAAATAAATGCAGTTGATCCGGTGAACGAAACAAAAATGTCTGTCAGGAAAGATAAAGCAATAAATCGACGCGTTCTTTCCATCTTCTCGGCGTCTCTCTCAGTCTTAGACTTGGTGACTGGAGGTTTAGAAATAAAGTGTAGGATAAACAGTGAAATATGCGAATGTTACAAATTCTGAAAGTATTATAGAGCAAAACATAGCTAGCTAGCTAGCAAGCTAGATAGCTAAATGACATTCTTAGATAGATAGATAGATAGATAGATAGATAGATAGATAGATAGGGAGAGAAGGAGATAAATAGGGAAAATTATGGTAGATAGATAGATAGATAGATAGATAGATAGATAGATAGATACGATCAGGCTGACATAGATACGAACAGACTAAGATAGATAGATAGATAGATAGATAGATAGATAGATAGATAGATAGATAGATAGGAAAATTAAGATAGATAGATTGTAATAGATAGAGAGATAGATAAATAGGAAAAATTATGATACAAGAAATTCTTATATAGATATATAAAAAAATTGTGATAGAGAGATAGGAAAAACTGTGATAGATAGATAGATACATAGATAGATATGAACATTGTAATAGAGGATAGATAAATAGGAAAAATTATGATAGATAGATAGATAGATAGATAGATAGATAGATAGATAGAAAACTATAATATAGAGAGATAAATAGGAAAAATTATGATAGATAGATAGGAAAATTATGATAGATAGATAGATGGATAGATAGATAGATAGGAAAATTGTAATAGAGAGATGCATAAATAGGAAAAATTATGATAGATGACATTCTTATATAGATATATAGGAAAAATTGTGACAGATAGATAGATAGATAGATAGATAGATAGATAGATAGATAGGAAAAACTGTAATAGATAAATAGGAAAAATGATGATAGATAACATTTTTATATAGATATATAGGAAAAATCGTGAGAGATAGGAAAATTATAATAGAGAGAGAGATAGATAGATAGGAAAAATTATGATAGATAGATGACATTCTTATATAGGAAAAATTGTGATAGATAGATAGATAGATAGATAGATAGATAGATAGATAGATAGGAAAAATTGTGATAGATAGATAGATAGATAGATAGATAGATAGATAGATAGTCTATGAATTCAATGTTCGATGTTTGTTTCTTGTTCTCACTTCGCTACGATCACCCAACCGAGACACACCAATTTTCTGTCCTAAGAAATTAAGTATTTCTGAATTTTGTTTTGAGATGTCAGTTTGTATGCATTAATTTATTTGGACTGTTGTAATGTCTTGGCACCATAGCGAAGAGCTCTTCCGAAAAGTTGCCATGAAATTATTTATAGAAAAGGCACAGGTAGGCAACTCTACAGCGGGGATAAAGTGACTGAAGTCGAGATGCCAGGTCAGGACCAATAATATTGCTGATTCTTCTTTGGATTTTATCAAGAATCTCTAAATATATAGCAAGATCACAGGACCATATGTGGCAGCAATATTCTAACCATGAACGACTGATAGACGTAGATATGTAAGATAGATTCCGGAGAGAAAAACTGTCTGGCACGATACTGTAAAACAACCTTCTTAGCAGCTGACCCAGCAATAGATCCAATATACTTTTTGTGCTTCATTCTGGGAATGTTAACCTAGAAAGGGAACACTCAGATGATTAATAGAGAGTAGTTTCATTTTAGAGGAGTTTAAATTAACAATTCATTCTGTTGTGGTGCCCTCCCTCTAATGAGTCTATTGTGGACTCTTCCACTTACTATAAAATTTGTTGGAAAATAAGCCTCGAGGGAACAGTCGACCAGACTGTTCATTTCTGTCGAATTCTCTGCCTCGGCAGAGAAGAAACTCTGGCGCAGCTTTGCCGCAGGACACTATGAATAATATAAATATAAAAATATTGCCGATGCTGTACTCTCATAATCTTAAGGCGTCTCGTAGAACAATATATTTAGTTCCATATTTCAGAAATACAGAATTGAATATACTGTCCTTTGGTTCCCGTGACATTTTAAGTTGGAGGATAGTTAAAATATTTCGACTGTCGTCTTTTATATATTTCTGACTGGAATGCGACTAATTGACTAGTAACGATAATACTATCCTTTTCTTTAAATTCGGCATTCATCGATCGACCGGCAAATTCTATGTTCGTTTGAAGCTTATAAATCTTTTTATGAATTTATATTTCGGTAGAATAGGTTCCTCAAGTCTAATAACTCTTTATAACTCTTCCCTGTATTGATAGAATTTTCTTTCTAACCGTTTATTCGATTTCGTGCGTGACGTCAACATTTTGATTATGTCAATATTTTCTCTTCCAGTTGCTCGTATTAAACATTTTAAATGTTGCCGCTGGTAAATTACCTCAAGCCATGCGGTTTCTGTATTCGGTACAGTCTTTTATTTAAGATTATGTAGCGCCAGTTCACAAGATTTGAAGGAGAATAAGCTAAGACCTAAAGACCTCATTTACTCCATGACATTTTTAACCATCGAACTGAGAAATCGATAGATATATTTAATGAAAAAGAAAACCTATAATGGTATAATGGTACTGATTATATATATTTTTTTTTAATAATCCTGGTAATATATCACTTACTGTATATATATATACATATATATATATATATATATATATATATATATATATATATATATATATAAAACAAAAACAAATGAAAAATACAGACAAAAGTTCATTTTCCATGAAGACATTCATTTTTGTAGTTCACTGCTACCAACAAGAGAAATATTTCGCCTCCTGATGACAGATTTTGGCCGAAAGTAGTCGAAGAATCTAAATGAAATAATAATAACGACGAAGGAATATTAATATACAACCCAGTGTGTCTGAAATTTTAATTTTTAATATTTTTATTGTTCAATATATATATATATATATATATATATATATATATATATATATATATATATATATGTATATTGACGACTAATATTATCTATCTATCTATCTATCAATCTCAATCTCTCTCTCTCTCTCTATATATATATATATATATATATATATATATATATATATATATATTATAAATTAATTGATTTAAAGCATGGTTTTTCCGCTTTTACAGTTCTAACCATGTTTCAAAATTGTTCTTTTTTATATATATATATATATATATATATATATATATATAAAATTTATTCGAAATTAACGCAAAATATGTTATAAAATCGGTACAAAAAATAGCCATTTTGTTTCAATATTTCTGGTGTTTTATCAAGTGATGGTGTTGAAAAGACTGCAGAAGTGTTGAAGCAAAATGGTTAATTCTGTAGTGATTTTATATCAGATTTATGTTATAATTTTCGAATAAATAATTATATTCGCTCTACTCTGTATTGATGAGCACTCTTTTAAGAATAGTATTTTTGTTTATTGAAATTTATTCCGTATACACCAATCCTATACGTGTTTCTGAATATACTAGGAACGTATCGTTTAGGGTACATATATATATATATATATATATATATATATATATATATATAATACTAATAATATTAATAATGGACACTTCCGTCGGTTTCGACGTACGAGGATCTGAATATAAGTTGATTCAGTTAGAAATTTTGTGCGATAATCTTAATTGGAAATTAAGACCCACTAGTGATTTACAAAGGAGGCTGCACATGGAGCAAGAGTGAGGATTTTCGATGAGATCACTGTTAGATTGGCTGACCTTTTAGATCTTGCATCGCTCCTTAACAAATTTATATATATATATATATATATATATATATATATATATATATATATATATATAAATTATGTTAAGAAACTGTTATGGCCTGGTTCCTTGTTAGCACAGTGATAGTCCAAGGTAGAACCAATAAAGAAGAACTCGAACACAGGTATGGAATAACACAGATATATTACAAACAGGAATATATACAGAGAAGTAGAAGTGTTAGTATGAATAATCAGGTTTAGTAGAGAGAACAATGTAGTCTCGACCAGTATCACTATTTCAATGTCTTGCAGTAATTGTCTGAACGGACTGCCTCTGACTCGACTCTTAATACGACTTGAACTACTAACTCCACTTGAACTACTGACGATATTTAGTCACCCCCCCACGAGGGCGTCATGTGGCACAAGGCCTTTTTAACGTGGGCTCTCCGTGCCCGTGGCTCTCCGTGCCCGTGGGCTCGGCCAAAAATATGCCCATTGAACCCGTATAAACGGGTTCAGGGTCGGATTGCCTCCCCGAAAGAGAATTCGCCCTTCGGCGTAGCCTCTCTCGGGTTCCTCCCCGCCCAAAAGCAGAGAGTTCAACCGATCTGTCGTTCAAGACTTGAGCGACGGACTATATTTAGTCGTCCCCCCACGAGGGTGTCATGTGGCACAAGGCCTTTTTAACGTGGGCATTTCCGAGCCACTAGGCTCGGCCAAAAAATAGCCCATTTGAACCCGTATAAACAGGTTCAGGGCCGCTTTTACCTCCCCGAAGGAAACTCCGCACCGGCGTAGCCTCCTTCGGGTTCCTCTCCGTCCCTAGACAGAGAGTTGAACCGAACCGTCGCTCAGAAAGTGAACGACGGACTCCTTGCCTACTCCTGAGGCGCAGTATTTATTAAGTATGGAATAGTCCATTATTATTATTATGGATAAGATCCCATAACAGAAACAGAC